CTTCGGCCTCAGTGGTCGCCACCGCGAGTGCTATGGCCACCTCCTCGCGCGAAATTGAAAAAAAAAAAACTAGCACCAATGACACAGTGGCGCTTAAATCCAGGCGCGCTGGGTTCCAGCCCAGTATTCTACCACTGAGGTACACCAGTGCTTGTGACTTGTCAAATTTGCCTTAGGCAGGCCCGCTGTCAGAAAAGCACTCGCGTGATGACGACTTATGAAGCGTTTTAAAGCAGTGAAGGAACAACCAGTCGTCGCACAATGCGAATAGCGTAACGAGTGGGCCGTTCAATGCTCCAACAAATCACAAAAGCTTGTTCTTGTTCCCCTACTAACTGTGACACATACCCACTTCAGCCATAATTCCTTATCATCGTCAATCACTGCATGAACAATTGGCACAGAATTTCATGCAAGTGTTTTTGCGTCAACCACGCTTCTCAAAAGAATGACGAAAATAGCACAGCGAATGCCGGCCTACTACGCAAATAACTTTGTTAAAAATTACCTAGTGGGTATCAAGCAAGTGTGCTTGCAGTAGTTACCCATTGAGTGTTTAAAAAACCTCCGAAAGGCCGCTCTTCTATAGCTATCGCTGTGACTGTGCTGCGGCTGCAACGCCAGGCTTGCGCGTTAGGTGCAGCACAGTCACAGCGAAAGCTTGAAGAGCGGTCTCTCAGAGCCTTTTCAAAACACTGATTGGGCAACTACTGCCAGCACACTTGCTTGGTACCCACTAGGGCATTAATAATAAACCTGCCTGCATAAACGGGCATGGGCTGACATGCGTATATTGGCTTCCAGGTGTCTACTAGCGGCTTTCTCTTACCACACTTTCTCATTCCCCATTTTTCACTTATTGCCGGTAGAATCGGTCACACTGCCAAGCTGCCAGTTGGCCTACATTTAAGCGCCGGATTGTACAAACCAAAAAGTAGAACCTATATGCATCACTGCTCTCACCTTCTATGTGTATCTGATTTTCATCGCTTTTTTTTGTTGCATGAAGCTGGGACACGGCTGGCCAGGAGAGGTTCAGGAGCATCACTTCAGCATACTACCGAGGCGCTCAGGGTGAGTTTTCGATTACTAGAGGCGCAGATGGGTTGGGTATATTTTAGTAACAACATTTGTGGTCTTGTGGGCACAGTAGCTCCTCTTTGCGGGACAAAACGTGAACCAAACTTCCGCTTCCTTACCACTTATACAACGTGGTTTACAAGTATTTCACTGTTTTGAATAATACATTTATTGTTAAAAGAAGCTGCAATTGCACTAATATTTCGACATTCTAATGCAGGCCTCACTGTTATACGCGTTTAACTGATATATGTGTAGTCTGAAGTTTTTACATTCCTTTGGTGACACCAATTCGGTTTCCGCTGATTTTTCACCGTATCAAACAGCGCGAAATATCACAATGAAGACTTAGTGAAAGAGCACACTCAGTTTAAATGTCCAAACTGTGGCGTTGTGATACTGGTTTTTCTTTCCTCATTTCTTTTTAGGAGATCTATTTGCGCAGGCTTAGGACATGCAGTGTGCACAATACGATTTGGACATCTCTTATGCCTGTGCATCTGTTACCCTTGTTGCAGTCGTGATCCTGGTATTTGACTTGTCTCTGGCAGCCAGTTTGTACAACACACCGCAGTGGCTTGAAGAGACCCTGGAAAGCACCGGACAGGGGCACGAGCCGCTGAGATTTCTCGTGGGCACCAAGAAGGACCTTGTGGTATGTTTAACAACTTGGAGTACTGGTGGTGGGGGATACGCGGTGCTTGCTCTGAAATTTGGAGGCCACCTCTCGGAGAATAACCTCAATTATCCCAAGTAGCTGAGGTAAACCCAGTGCAAAAGTATACCGACCATGATAAGGGAGGTGATGCGATTTGCGTTGTCATTTCAAACTCGATGAAACAAGCAAAAAAAAAGAACCAAGACAAGACAAAACAACATAGGGCGTCTCATGACTCGTACAGATTTTCTCGCCGCTGTGTGAATTTGCTTAAAAAATCAAAATCGGCCTACCAAGCTGTTTAAACCTCTTCACCAATATTCTTAGAACCTGCGTATTCAACATGACGTTGCCACTGGCGTGGACATTTGAAACTGGCGAGAACCGACATGTGGGTAGAGTGGTCCACACCTCCACAAATGTAGGAATAATTATAACGTAGGAAATGTTGCCGCAGGCATACGCGTTACTTTATTAAACGCAATAGCTAGCGGTAAAGATCTCGTTTCGCAGAAATTCAGGTGTCGGTGTCGGAGCTGGCACCGGCAGTGGTGTCGTTGGTTGTGAGCAAAAAACCAACCTTGTCCGTCAGCGAAAATTATAGGAAGGAAAAATAATAAAAATTACCCCATCTCCTAATGAAGAGAGAGATGAATAGATGCAAACCTGTGGGCGCTAACGCTCACACTGGCTGTGACGTTGACGCTGGCGCTCATCGCAGCGTTGCGTAGGAGAGAAACCTGGGGAAGCGCAGATCACGCAGGGATGTACCGGTGTTTCTTACTGGAACGTGACATCACTGCATAATGGGCAATGCTACTGTACAATTGGACACAGCCATCCGCAGTTCCCTTTTAGTTAACGCGCACAGTGTAACTTCATCTTCAACAACGCACAGTAGAAATGTCCAACCGGCACTACCTGGAGGTCAAGATTCAGTGTCTATATGCGCAGGGTGGCCAGTGAACGGTTGTGCAGCGCGAGCAGTCGGTTTTTGCAATCAAGATCAAACGCTACCTCCGTCCCGTCGGCGTTGCAAGGCGAGAGAGTGGAGCGTATAAAAGATGACGGGGCCCATGCGCAATAGGATGTAAATGTCACGGGGAGGGATGCGTAGATGAGAGAGAGGGGGAGCGAGAGAGTAGGCCAGCACACGCTGCCTGCTTCGGTGTAGTGAGGCGAGAGGGTGCGGGTGCGTAGGAGTGGAGAGTGGAAGTGCATGCACCGTAAGGGCGGTCACGCCACCCACCGGATTGAGCTCGACCATAAGACGCTTCGCATTTAAATAAAGCTTAGTGTGAGTGGAATCAGCAATATAGACCTGTATGATGGGGAACGATGGGTTTAGCCACGCGGCCTTCGACGCAAACATCTCCTGGCACACTAACGGCAAATTTTACTCTACACAATTTACCATTTGTGGCTCACATATCTTCGATATTCTTCAGTGGCTGCACTCTCATCCCCGAAATGGCACGAAGAGCCGTTCGGCGCGCTTTGAATGGCCTCGCCATGTTGTAAAGGCGTGTTTTGTCACGCCGCATGTATACCCATCGCAGTCCGGTTGGTCTAAGCACTTGAGCTTTCTTTGTGGCACGCTTGATGTGTCCTCTGAGAAGTTAAGCCAAGCTAGCTATTGGGAAGGCGATACGCACACTGTCCAGTTCAGATATCGTGTTTTACACTTCACAGCGAATCTGAGGCATGCCCTCAAGTTTTTTCTGTCATTTCAGAGATGACACCTAGTATTGATTTCTTAGAATTTGTAGGGTCATAATTTAGTTGAACGTATACGCACATAGCATACTACAAGCTGTGGTGACAAGCACAGGTTGGCATAACTAGTGAAATAGTACACTTATGCATGGTAGGAGCATCAGACAGATGTTGCTAGGCCACTTACAGTAAAGAGAGGAAGGTTTACAGAGCTGCAGAAAAAGCAAGCTTGTATTTATTAGAGATCGCATTATTGCCACTCCACCATGGCCCCCCAAAGGAATAAAGAAGCCCCTGTTCTTTATGTCCGCACGCGGCTCTGTGGTCACCCGCTGCGCTGTCCACCAGTGGATTGAAAGAATGCACGGATAAAGCAACGTTGATGACGCAAGGACGTATGATTAAATGTCGGGGCCAACATCAGTGCGTTGCAAACAGCTGGATCCACTGATTGTAGACACGTTGCATGTCGGACGTCAAAAAACTAAAAAAAACTTGTTCATACAAAAGGGGCAATTGTAAGGCTCGTTTTTCTTCGCTATACAGCACATATATTGAACTAACACTTAAGAAAGCCCAGGATTGTATAGGTGATGTTTTGTTTTGTAATAATTGTGATGTAAACGTGAGAAAGGTATGCGGACGGAGAGATAGGTGCAGAAACCGAACATGCGACCTTTGAATGACACGTCCGATGCTCTCAGAACTCCGCTGCAGTGGCGGATAATTCGCCTAGCCACTTTATGGAGTATGCCTGCAATTTTTTAAAACTCGAGTGCGTCAGTCAGTGCCGCTAGTATATCCATAATGGCGAGTGAAGAACTCTTTTTTTTTCTGCTTTCTGGCGTCGCCAAGCCCGGGATGTATTTATGAGCTGGCAGCTGACCAATAATCTCTCGTGTACTACCATAAGGCATCGAGTCTGCTGGAACGGCGCTCTAGCTACAAATTAACGAGGAAGGGCACTTGATCTGAGGTGCTGTGGTTTGTTGTTTTTCACATCGAAGCAACATCCTCACTTTATTTTGTAATCTTCATGAATTCCAGTGACTTGATGAAAACGAGTGTGGCAGTAGTCCTGTGTCCACCTTTTGCTTAGAATTACCAGCTTGGTATTTTGTTTCCATCCCAGAACGACGGATGTTTGGATGGCATGGAAGGAGACGCGACCAAGATCGCGCGCAGATTGGACGCCGAGTACTGGTCCGTCTCTGCAAAGACAGGTGAGTTCGGTTCGGGGCATTATTAATGAGACATAGCAGCATGTCTAGAAGCGTATTACCGAAATGTTCTTTCTTCAGGCGTTGACTCGATGTGCCTAGTTAAGTCGGTAACATTTCGTCATGTACGCAAAATGTCGGGTTTCTAAGGATACGAGACAAAGTTCACCATTTGGTTAGTTATACGGAATGGCGCACATGGTTCATAACTGAGATCATTCTCAATTTCCCATGCCCATTTCTCCTGCTAAATTCCACTCCTCTCACGTGATCTGGAGTGCAAATGTTTGGGTGTCATTACAGCGCACTGCGATGCTTTAAGCTTTGCCGTCTGAAGGCGTCCGCAATATTGGAGCACTGGTTAAGGCGCTTGGTTGCTGATCTGAAGGTCGCTGGTCGATCCAGCCATGGCGGTCACATTTCGATGGAGGCGAAATGCTAGAGGCTGTGTACTGTGCGACGGTCAGTGCACGTCAAATAATAATTAATAATAATAATAATAATAATAATATATAATAATAATAATAATAATATAATAATATACTAATGATAATAATAATAATATAACCTTATCGTTTGTAGTCTTTTAAACAATAATTTTTTTGGTTCTACTCTGAATCACTTTGTCTATTTACTGTGCGTAATATTGTAATTACGTGCTTTTTAGGTTATATGTCGTGTAACTCTTCTCAAGGTAAATATTATTTTTTGCATAATATATAAGCATATATGATGGCCCCTCCCTTCTGCACGTCACGTTGTCCGTTGAGGGTAAAATGAATTAAATAAAACAAACAAGATAGAAAGCAAATGCCTCGGTGTTACAACACGGTGCGATGCCTGCAAGCCCTCCCTTATTTAGGCGCTGCGCTCAATACATCTTCGTGTTTTCGAAAGCTGTGGCCTTTTCTCAATACGGCCTTTATGCACTGTTAAAGAAGTTTTGAGCTACGGTAGTTTTTATTTTCATTTTGTTTATTCTTTGAAAGTTGAACAGCACGTGCACAATGCGAGTGGCCCGGCTAACCTTCCAGTCTTTGATTAGCGCTTTGTCTCTCACGCCTTGTCATTGTGCGCTCACTTTGTAGATCTTGAATTCTCCGCACGCACAACCGCGAAACAAACAAGACTTCACAATTGTTCGCTGTGCCCGTTATTTGGGTCATCGTCGTCCCGCAGGCGAGAACGTGCAGCAGTTGTTCTTCCGGGTGGCCGCACTCGCTTTTGTCCAGTGCCTTACAAGGGAGCTCCAGGAGAGGCAGCAGTCACCAGAGAAGGCCGCCAACAACAACTTTGTCCGTAAGTGTTCCCATCCTACACGCAATCCTGTTTGTCTCGCTTGCACAAAGGGACCTGATGCTCATTTCATTTCATATGATGGTGGACTTAGCCGGATTTATCCGGTCTGAGTGGAGGCATGAAACGAAACCTCCACATAACCATAAAAATGCCTGATTGAATTCCACGTGCTTTTAAATATTTCAAGCTAAGATAGATTGGGTGGACCGCTGTTGGTGTTACGTGAAATTTTGTGCGCGTTCTACAAGGAAGCGTGTGATAACACTGGGGCTCTTTTCTTCGCAGGGCTGAGGAAGCGGAAACACGGCAAGAAGATTAAAGCACCGAAATGCTCTGGCAGCCAAAAATGTGCCACGAAGTGAAGAACCACGCTATTGGCCGTAAATGATGTGTGGGAGACGAAGGTGAAAACCCCATCACGCATGAACGCATCGCTACAGCCAGTGACGCTGAAACCAGTGAATGCCAATAGTGTCACGGAATATCATCAGGCTGTACGCAATAGTTAACGGAGCTGCCATACCCTGACAGAACTTTCCAGCTTGGAAGCAGGCCTTCCTGTTTATTGATGGAAGTATGGCGGATACTGATAATTTTCAAGGAAAAAAAAATTGTGCAAATAAAGGAAAAACACCACGAAGAAATAACACATAAACTGGCCGAGTTTTCCCTCTTTGTGGTGTCTTTTCTTTATTTGAGCAATTGTTCTTTGTGAAGTATTGAACCAACTGGCCCCTCAAGACGTCCTGATACTTTTGTTTTAACCGTAGCTTTGTTTCGTTTCTTTTTTTTTCGCAAGTGAGTACAATAAATGACTGTCTTGAGGAGGATTGTGGGGCGTTAAGCGAACACTTTCGTTTTCTCTTTCGAGGCTGGTCTCAGAGTGATTGGGAGGGGCAAGAAGTTACTTTGTTTACCTTACATGTATGAAACTGTGATTTCATGTGCTGAACGCTCGCATTGAAGTTCTGATGAAAACGTTTTTTCACAAATGTTCAAATGCCATGATCCTCAATGCCAGTTTGAGAGCTGTTGAAAACTTTGTACTGGAGTTGGATGCATTCGACTGGAGTGCTTTTTTACAAGATTCCATCAGCACAAAATTTACAGGTCATTTATCTGAATATACTGTACGAACACCAGTTATGATGCTCATCGTGAACATTCATATCTTAACAAAGGTTGCTGACTGTGGCTCACAGCAGTGAGGCCCTGAATAGTGTTCTTACTGGAAGCTAGCTCTAACAATAATTAAGACAAGCTTTCATGGAGCAGTAAAATATTGAAACCATGTAGAGCATTGATTTGACGTAACCTCTGAAAGCATAAGTAAGACAAGCTCCATTGGAAATCGTACCTGATGCAAGCCTGCCGTAGCGACGCTACAGCTGGAAGCATGAAACCGTTTTCCGCTATATTGCTCGTAGTAAAGACAATGGTGGGATGAAAGCAAAGTATTTGATTATTTGTTCGCATTCGGCTTGGCATAACAACTTCGAACCGAGCAGCTACTTGCAATTACTGAATGGCACATTTATGTCATGATTCTGATACTTACTTCTGGGACAAAAAGCACCTTGAGCTCAATGTCCGCTTGCAGAAGGCACTGAGAATACAGAAAACGTTCGAGAACCCACAAATAGTGTGCTTTGTAAGGCTGTTTAAAATTAGTAAATCAGAAGGGCTATTATGCTTGCGTATTGTGCATCGTTATGTTAAACGTCACCTTTCAAAAACATAGTTACTCGCTTTTAGTCTTACACCTTTCATCATTAGTCATCGTGATAGATATAAACTCATTATTTTTAATATGTAAAATGCCTGTCTGTAACCTCTTAGAGAAGAAGGGTAAGCGTCACGCAGTCAGGATAGCTTGCGCGTGCCATGCTGCACTATTGTCGTATCCGTAGGTACCACTCTGCAACTAACGACAATCCACGTCACTGATTCGTACGAACGTAAAGTAGCTAACTTGGCCTATCATTAGTGTAGTACACATGAATTCGGCGAGATTTCACGTGAGAGGGTTGAGTCAAGCTCACTGAACTTCACGTCATCCACGAACGCTCCCAACGTGCTGCCTAAGCGATTTAATAAACTCTGTTGCAGAAGCATTGGCACGAGTTCGTCTCGGTATTCACCGAGTTAGACCCACGAGCGTACCTGTATACCGTCGCACTGGTACAAACAACCTGCAATGAATTATAGTCACATGGACGCTACAGTCGTTTTTTACACATGCAATCCGACTCGACCAGAATGATAAGGTGGATAAAAGGGTTTGCAACATTTCGTTATTTTGGTTCAATTTTCAACCAACCATCTGCACACAGGTCATCTGAGCGTTATTTAGTGTACCTTCACATAAAACAAAATTCACGGGTTTTCATATGTTTTATTCTAGAAAACCATTACGGTCATCGAGTTGTGCTGTCGTAATCCTGTCTGAGTTGAAGGTAAATTTGGAGGCAACGAGTGTTCTGAAAAAAACACGAGTAAGCTATTCGTCAGCTTATGAAATGATGCATATGTCGAAGCCGCTGAAGTTGGTTGTTAGTGCTCTCACAGTGATACATGATCATGTTGTCCATGCAAATGTCCTTGCTAACTTGCGCTTTAAAGACAATAAACGTATGTGATTCCCATTAGCATCCTACACTATAAGAGTATCCTGGCTAGTCACGAGTTTCGATAGGACACACGTGAAGTTACGTTACGATGGCCTCGCGTGCATTGCGCCGAAGATTAAAGGGTGAGAAATGTTGTGCAGCAAGTTTTGTTGTGTATATTTGCGTTTTCATGATATTCATCTGCTGTGCGAGAAAAAAAAAGCATACTCTTTGAGACTGTTGCCTTTGCAATAAGTGCCTTTGCAAAATATCGTTTCCTAAGTTTTATATTTAAGTGTTCAATGAATGTGTAGTTGGCGCGCGTGTATGTGAAGCAATAAAACAATCGAGTGCTTTGTGCAAGCCACATGTATCTCCTGATCAAATCGTTCAATTCTCGTTGGCCAGAATGAACGCTCTGTTACCGCGACGCTATCGGTTACGGGTTTATGAGCGTATTTGTGCACACGAGAACAAAGCAAACATTTTTACCTTTTGACAAGTGCGCAACATAGTTCTAAAACTTTTCGTCATCTGGCATGAAGGAGTCGGAAGTATATTGAATATTTTCAAAGCGTTTCATTATACTGTGGGATTGTTTACTCAAACCAGTATTTCGGAGCATCATAACTCCAAGCGTGCAGTTGTACCCCGTGTCATGAAAGTGGGCGTTTTGGCGGGGTTCTGAATGGCCTGCAGTGCCCGCTGCTTGACAAATATAGAGGATCTGGGCGGTAGCTCCACGACTTGTGAATGCTTGAACAAGTGAAAATTAGGCCAACATTATGTATCAGACGAGTTTAAATTATTATTGATGTAGCATTCCTTTCTTCCATCATGGCAATGCTAGTACAATACGAGTATTAGGCTCCATTCATCTGGTACCTGCCGTCTGAACAAAATTCAAAGAACTGCAAAGCACTTCATAGGCTCAAAATGTTTCACCTCCTGTTTCAATGCTTTGTTAGTGTGCATTGATAACACACAGCATGAGGTCATTTTTTGAACTATTTTTCTTAAGCAAACATACATACAATACTCAGGAACTCCATCTATGTGGCGCAATAATGGTGTCTTCAAGCACAATAATTTTCTAGTGAATCACCAAATATTTCATGCGCAAACATCACACCAATATGCTGGTAATGTTTGTCGCTCATACCGACACCATTCACTTACCAGATGGCACGCTATGTAGCTCTTATCGAAGGCTAGAGTCACTCGTCGACAGGTCGTGTCAGGTATGCTACTATGAAAAGAGGGAAAATGTGACACGTGCATATATCACGCTCTGGGCCAGCCGTGTTTCATCATGGCAAAGCTAGATGAGCAGGTTGAGTTCGCATCTTGTCTGCCAATGGCTATGTTTTACCACTTTGGTCCACTAGACTGGCTTCTGGAGTTTGCAATATAAAACTTCATGACACGGGGCCTACAGCTCTCCCAAAATCCTGCAGGCTTTTTGAAGTCTATTACTTCAACTAACCTGTAGAATAAAAGCCGTAATCGTGCATTATTCGAACATGTCACACAAGTGATGAATGAAAGAACGTATTTTCAATTGTCTACCCAATGAAAGAGCTTGTAATGAAATATTTGCGCTGCGATCAGTAGTTCTATTGTTGAAACTGGGTTCGCTTATGAACCTTGTTACTCTACTAAAATGCAGTTTATTTCATTTTGACTAACATTTAATAGATTACCAAAACTGTGCCCTGCGTTGTTCTATCAAAAATATACAACAAATAGAAACATTTCAGAACATCCAATGTCTTTTATAAACTATAAATGAAGAAATAAACCTACTCCAACTAAGTACTGTTCTGCGCTAACCTATATATTAAAAGGAAGCTAATATATACAGCTGCTTATTATTCTGCTGCAATGTAGATAGTACTCTTAACCAATCAAAATGGCTTCAACACTTTCTCTTCATGCTCGCACCAGTGAATATTTTGAGAATTTTTATATGCCAATTGTTTAATAATATTTTAAAATAATAGACAATGACGCCAAAGAAATTACAAGGATGGTATTAGAAGTATTGGAATGTAAATGTGTGAGAAAAAAGCCGTGACATCAAGCTGCAACTCATTAGGTAGTATGCTCCTACCTAGAATGATAATGAGCTAGTCACCGGGCTTAAATTACAACATCATAGAACAAAGAATCACGTGACAAGTCCCTGCCAAAACCACGTAAACAGTCTCATAACTATGATGACGTAGTATGACGTAACAACTGGTAACGAGGCTTTATCCAGTAATAGGCTACGGAAAAACTTATTGCGTGGCTAAAATTCTGTGACATTACGCAACAGTTTATGTTACAAAACAACGTCACGTCTAATAATGGCACTAAAGTCCTGTAAGATCACTTCACTAGCCATGTGACTAAGTTTACGTAACATCACGCAATTGAAATCACGTAATGAGTAACGTGACACGTTCTCGACAAGACCACCTGGCAGGTGGATACCGCGGGGAACTGACCTACACTGAAGAATAGCCAAGTCCGTCTATATTACCAGCAATATCAGCAAAACTTTTAATCTCTGGCAAAATTTTTCCGCCCCAAACACTAGGTCCGTTGTTTTTAATAGCTTCTAGAGTGAAGGTGCGCATTTTTTTTTGTCCGAGATTACTATTGTATGCGACACATTTCTTAGCGAACCCAAGGCACTTTGACTGTTTCTATCTATGTATCTCTCTAGCCGTCCAGGTCTTGGTAATCTAGGAATCGCCTCTTCGATGTGGTGTACCCCAAAATTGGTATATGTGGCGCAAAATAATCTGATGAAAAATCGGCAGCCCCTACTCATCTTGGGAAGCGAGGTTTTGCGAAACAGGTGGAGGGAGCCTGACCGTGTTGAAATTTTTTTATTGAGCGACATGTCATGATTTGACGTTAAATACAAATGTAAATTTTTCACGCACTCATTTGAAGAGTCGCAGATGTTTATATTCCAGTTGTTAGCACTCGCGAAACAATGACAACAGCAACGTGAGTATTAGCAACGCTAGAAGCGATAAGCTGATACGAAACGCTGGTGCTCGCGAGGATGGTAGCCCTAGACACTGCTACATGAATAAACTTGAGCACATGGCGCCCTACTACAATCGACGCTAACCCGATGTGACAGATCTATCAACGGAGTGTATATGTAAGTTTTATAAAATCAGATAGCCACCACTTCAACCGCAACTGATGTTTCACGAACA